GTGGTTGACTCAAATTGACCCTTTATGCGTGAGCTGGAGTAGACTGTTCTAGTTCCACGTGCCATGTCTAAAGGATGTCAGTTATCTCCTGTTAATTCTCCTCTCCAAGTTCTCCACTGCCTTAACCAGGTATTGAACTCACACTCTTTGGGTCCTGTCACTTAAGGCAGTGGAGAACTTGGAGAGGGGAAATAACTGGAGATAACTGATAACTGACATTCATTAGATATGGCACGTGGAACAAGAACAGTCTATCCCAGCGAGCGAAATAAAGGGTTCAGTTCGACATTCCAACCACCTGAAGAAGGTTGGGGCGTACAACGGCCGAAACGTTGTAATAAATATGGCGACAAAGATGAGGACAATAGTTTGAATAATATAACTAGTATATATTTCATTTTCAGCCTCCTTTTATAATATATATTTTTATATCATATATTGTATATTATACACACACACACACATATATATATGTAATTTTTTTTTCAATATAAGTTCAAAACAAAACCAAAAATTTAATTTTCAGATTGTAATATAACAACAAGTCTGAATAGAAGCTTATGAAGCCTTATTTGACTAATTCAGCTTTAGCACTGAAAAAGTTTATTTTATTATAGTGTATGGTTACAAGTCAGAGGGGAGGATGGGATTTGCTTGTTTTATTACTGCACAGATTATAAATTAGTAATCTTGTAAATAAACAATTGAATAAATAACCAAAAATTTAATTTTTATATCATTATGTTGGGATCTATAAAGAACTACATTGAAAAAAATCAGTATATAGTCTCGTATCCCCTTGCTTCAGAAGTCTACATTGCTTGGCACTGCAAATATTCTGTGAAAGGTTCTGTCTGAGCTCATATGACTTGATGGAGGACAGATATAATGCAAATCAGTAACACTGATTTGCTTGTTAGTTAATTGAATGTAACCAGTTAGACATGTCCTCTAGTGTGGTAATGCATTGTGTATCTCTGTGGAAGTAGATGGAGAGCATGATGAGGTATTATGTACACTATTTACATTATTCGGACTATTGTCCTCATCTTTGTCGCCATACTTATTACAATGTTTCGGCTATTGTACGCTCTGGCCTTCTACTGGAATGTCGAACTGAACCCTTTATTTCACTCACTGGGGTAGACTGTTCTAGTTCCACATGCCATGTTTAATGGATGTCAGTTATCTCCTGCTAATTCCCTCGCAAGTTCTCCACTGCCTTCAGGTGTTGAGCTCACACTGTTTGGGTCCTGTCATTGTATTTAACTAACGCCTTTATCCACTGTTCCATGTGTCCTTGAGGACATCTACGTATGAATTTCTGGCTATTATAAACGTAATGTCTTCAGCCATCATTTTTTACAATTTTTGCTGTTATCAATTCATTTTTTTATGAGAGCTCATATTGCAATTCTTGTTGTTATTATTGCTTTTCTCTGGCATTCCTTATTACTGGTTCCCATATTGTATTCATTTCTATGCTTGGTTGGCTCAGGAGATTTTTGTGGCCTAGCATATCTTTTACTTCAGATGTCAGCTAAAAGACCTGTAAAGGATTCTATCTAGGGCTGGATTAACCATTAAGAAAAATAAGCACATGCTTAAGGCATCAAGGGAAGGGGACACCACAGAAATAGTAATGATATGAAGTTGTGGTACACATCTAAAGAAAAAAGTCAAACACAACTAACATTTGAATCAATGGGTGCCATTATGAATGGGGAGACAACTGATCTGCAATGAAACTTTATTCACATTTTGATTGGTTAATAATGGAATGAGCTAAGGGAGATAATGAGGTTTGTATTTACTCAATACATCATGCCTGCTCTCTTGAAAAAGGTAATATTACTAATTAACTTAATGGGGTTTAATTTTTGTGAGCAGAGGTAGACTAACTTCATGTTCGTTTGGCATTATTCTTGCTATATGTTTATGTGATTCTGTAATATGCTGGATTGTTGATTACACAACCACTTTTGGTCACAGTTCTGTTAGAATCTGGTTGTGGCTCATGTGACAGTGGCTGCTCAGCTGTGACTGGTTCTTTCTTGGTTCATATTGTTCTGGGTTGAAACTGATCATCAGCCACTCCCGATGATCATATGTGCCTTCAGTTCCTTCTATATTTATTTCCAGCTAGCATTTCTACAATTGATGTTGATATCCTTTAATTTCACTACTCACTGAGACTCCATGCTAGCATACTTAACTCGAAGATGTATGGGGGTTCCCCAAAATCTTTTAAGTGCTTAGGACCCCTATGGTTCTTAATCCGGCCCTGATTTTATTAAACAGTAAATCAGAAAAGTGGAAACAATAATAATAATCACAAAGACCTGCCATTATTGTTATAGAAAAAGTTTGGTTTGGTTTTTTTTTATGGCTTATCAACCACAATGGGTTATTTAATGCCAACAAAATTACCTTTTTTTTTTTTCAAAAATGTATAGCTCATAATATTTATTTATTTATTTTTTTTAAATGTATAATTTGGTTTGTTTTGTTTTGTGGCATATTAACCTCAATGGATTATTTAATGCTGACAAGATTTTTATTTCTGGTAATATTTTCTGTTTTCAAATATTTATTGCTGATACTAATTTTTTTTAAAAAGTATTTCTGGTATTAAAATCTATTTTTACACTTTTATAGTGTCAGGTTGTGGGGGTCAACTATTTGCCCATAGCTGGGACCCTAACAGGTGCTACCACCCCGGTTCAGGGTGGATCTGGGAACACCTGCAATTAAGAGGTGGTTCCATGCGGATGCAGTTTATCGTCATACCCAGGACGTGTTACAGAAAAGGAGAGCAGCAATTGTTAAATTATTTATTTTATTGTTCTATATGATATAAGACTTGACATCAAAGAAACAGAAACAATTAAAAAATACAGATCTGGCTAGGGAGTTAAAAAACCCAAAAAACTATGGAACAGCTGTTGAAATAATTCTATTCATGTTTGCTTGGAACACCAACTAGAAAATTAAAAGATTAGAGAAATTTGGAATTGAGATTAAAATTGTAGAACTTTTTTTATATATTTTTTTTTTTATTTATGTTTATCTAAATCAAGACCCAAAAGCCACTTAAGGTAGAAGGTCATTGTGTGGTGTTGTTTGAGCATAAGAAAGTGCAAAAAGTGAAGTTCTTGGGTTTATGCAGGAATGATAATCGCTAACTCCAGACTTGAAGAGGTCAAGATTTAATTAGTGAATAACATTTTCAGAATTCAGAGACATTATAAATATAGTGTGGAAATAGACTTTAGAAGGAACCAGAAACCTAATAATTAAACAGGGAACCGGGATAAACCACTACTCCTGTTCAAAAGACTGGTTTGGTTTCATTTCATTTATTTTGTTTTACGGCATATCAACCACAATGGGTTATTTAATGCTGAGAATATTTTTTATTGGTGCTAATATCTTGTTTTGTCAAAAATCTGTTTCTAGTAATATTTTTCCTTCGAAATTGTATTGCTGGTAATAATTTTTTTCAAAAATGTATTGCTGGTAATAGTTAACTATTTGCCCATAGCTAGGACCCTAACAGGTGCTACCACCCCAGGTCAAGGTGGACCTGGGAACACCAACAATTAATAGGTGGTTACATGCTCCTCAAAACCTCCTTGTCAGAGGCTTTGCTGTTGGATGTAGTTTATTGTCTTATCCAGGATGCAGATGTAGTTTAACATCTTACCCAGGATGATCAAAAGACTGGGGAGGAGTATGAATCAGATGATAGGCAAACCTATCGACTCCTATTGGGAGAGAAAGAAAAAAAAATAATAATTAGTGAATGAAATTTCAGAGCTCAGTGGATAACATTAAGAGTATAGTGTTGAAGTCCAGAAAATTGCTATCCTTTATTCTGCAAGGATACTCTGAAACATTCTTGAGTTGTGAAGAGGTTTGTTGATATCATGTCTCAAGAATAGAATTTCCATTGATTACATCAGTGTACAACATCAACATAATAATGTTGTGAAAGAGATAATCAACTACCTTGAAAAAGAGTTTGTGTTTTGTGCACAATCTGCTGAAGAAAAATTACTGAAAGTAGTTAGCAAAAATTTGCTACTTTAAGTATCAGAATCTATGCTAATGTTCTTTCCTCCCCTGAATGGCGTGGCCAATCAGAAAAAATTGCTCGGTGAATAAAAGCTGTTTTTTTTTTTTGGCTTACAGCAGAAGGATTTTTTCTGAGCTTGGTGGACAAACATGAAGTTTTGCTGGTGAAAAGTGAAGATTGGATTTGTGACCCCATTTCGTCATTTCTACATTGCCTGTTGGACGATGGACTATCGTTTGAACTGTGATTTGGCTACAAGTGTTGCAGTTGAGAAACAGAAGAAACCTATTGCAGGCATTTATTGCTACTATAAGTTTACAATTTTTTTCTTTACTACAACAAATAATATCTTGATTGAAAAACATGCAAGATTTTGTGGAATTTTTCAATATAAACAGATAAGAAGCTGGTATGGGAAATTTAGCAACTCCCCAAATGCTTTTATTCACTGGGCCATGTGACATGTGGAACTAGAACAATCTACCCTGGTGGGTGAAATAAAGAATTTAGTTTAAAATTCCAAACACCCGAGGAAGGACAAAGCGTACAATGTCTGAAATATTGTGAATATGGCAATAAAGTAAATAATGTAAATAATTACAATACCTCATCTCAGAAATATAGACAGGTACTGCAATTTTGGTTCAACATTGATTGATTGTTTTCTACAGCTTATCAACCCTTTGCAGATTATTTAAAGCCAGAAAATAGTTTTAGATTGCAAAATTTTTTTCTTTTGGAGAATGAAATGGTGATACAATTTTTACTAATTAACCCATAGTTGGGGGAGAAGAGGTGGGTTCATACCTTTCCCAATGGTATATGCATGTAAATGAATATAATGAACCTGATTGGAATTGGAACTTTGCTCTTCTTTTTCCAATTCTGACTCATTATACATTACACAACCTGCACAGCAAAGCTTACAGCACCTGGTATTCCCATGTGGTCACCCAATTAAGTACTGACCAGGCTTGATGTTGTTTAACTTTGGTGATGTTACAGGAACTGGCATTTCAACGTGATGTGGCTGTAAGCCAATTTTAGTTCAAGCTTCTTAGTTTTGACATGAAGTTGATGAAATGTCTTGATTTAAAATTTCCATTTAGACAATTTAAGGCAGGAATAAATAAATCTTTAAAATAACTATATTAATAATGTGGGACATATGAGTCTCTGTTGATTGTAAGCTGGCTATTATTACTGAGGAGTGAGTTTGATCTTCACTAGGTGTCCTATATGCTTATGACCTTGCGACAAAACTAAGCTAAACTCAGTAGTAACCATTTCCTAATACTAAAAAAGGTAGGTGTGCATTACATTACAAGTGATAAAATGTTTGAAACTCATATAAACAATGAACACATCTTACAAATCACCCTAGTAATTCAGTTGATTTCTGGAGCTCATAGTACTATAAAAATTATTCGCGTAAAAGACGATTGTATTTTTTCATTAATTAAAAAAAATAAAGTATTTAAGTAATTTGTATTTAAAAAAAACCCAAAAAACTATCTTAAAAATTGTTTCAGGTTTTAACAACGTGAGCGGGTAAAGTGGCTTTTTTTTATTTGCGGTTTAACGCCCGTGTAAGTAAGTAGGAAAAAAAACAAAAAAACAAAACAGAACAAGGATCTAGCCATGCTAACACTTTATTCTCATAAATATGTATGTTTTAATTGACTTTCTAGATTAATTTCATAAGCACAATTTCCGGTTATTTGAGATGCTACAACGTGAACAACAAAACAAGTGTAGGAATTAAGATCGTTTTTAAACTAAAAAAACTAAAGGGAAGAAAGACTAAAAAAAAAAAAAAAACCACTGAAGTTGAAGTCACTATAAAATGGATTTTGAATTAAATGATCCTTGTTATTTTTAAAATAATAATTAATTACTAAAATAAATTATAGAAAGGTCTAGCTAGCTAGCAGTTAGTCTCAACTCAACACAGCAGTTTCCAACACGTCTCAAATCAGTATTACTGTTGCTACTGCTACAGCAGCATCCAAAACTTCACCATCCAACTACTACGACTCGCAAGAGTAATGAAGAGATGCTTATGCCAACTTCTCTACCAATAATACCATTAGTACCATCACTAGTAGTACTGCATTCACATATTTATAATCCTCCTCCTCACTACGGTGCACTTGGTTCAGGGGGGTACCAACAAAAGCAAGAGCTCCTCACCATGTGCGATCATTGTGATTCATTTGCAGAAGAAAGCACCAGTAAATTGTTTACTTTGACCGCCAAGCTAAAAGGTTAACCCCAAAATTGCGATACACGCAATCATAACAGAAGCAACTTTTAATATAATAATAATAATAATAATAATCTCAAAATAATCTCTCTTATAGACCGGATTTTATTGGAATTTATTTTTTTGGAACTGCATCATTATCGTATCATCTCGAGCAGTAAGTAATTTCTTTTTATTTGCAAGTTGGGTCTATATTGGTAAACATTCACTAATGACTTTTATTTTTTAATTGAAAAACACTTTTTTTGGTTTGTTTTATTGATCAATTCAAGTTTCTCAGTGGAAAAATTGTTGTTAATGTTTAACAGTGTTTTTCTTTTATGTATCTTAATTTATTAATGTATTTTTTCCTAGGTTCAATTTTTAATCAATGTTTTCGCGTTATTTAAATTAGTAATAATGGCACGTTTCCTTTTAATGAGGAAGCTTGTTCTTAACTTAAGTTTTTTGTTTGTTTAATTAATTGGAATTTATAATTTTTGTCATTGTCATAAATTAACAATTAACATGCATTTGAAACTGGCTTTGGTAACTTACAACTTAAAAAGCAAAGTTATTGCCGTGAAGACTAATGTTTTATTTTTTTAATTGAAGTGTGAGTAAAAACAAACAAAAACAACTGTCTAACGCAAGAAAGGTCGAAATAGATATGAAAATTAGAAATTTTTATTTATTTTACAATACTATCACCAAGTCGTTTACTTATTTTTTTTTTAATTCCTAAAGCAGAAAGAGTAACAAGTGACATCTTTATTATTCACCACGAAAATAAATGTCATTTTTCACAATTGATGCGTGGAAAATAAGTCTGGTTCAATTTATTAAAATTTTTATTTTTCTCCACATTTCTATCAATTTTTTTTAGAGTGTATTTTTTTTTTTTTTTTTAATGATTTCTCTACTTTTTCTTTTGGTTTTTAAAAAAATTCAAAAGTGCATCTGAAAATCCTTTCTGTCCGTATTTTTATAATTTTTCTTAAGTTTTAAACTTAAGTTTTTTTTAGCTTATTTTGATCCCCCTAATTATTTATTTATATCCAGTCCAGTGTATGTCAAGAAAATAATTGCCATGGCTGTGTATAAAAAAAATAGAATGATTTTTTTTTTTTTTTATCTTGTTGCTTAAAAGATATTTCTTGGTTAAGGAAAGAAGAAAATAAATAACTCCACAGTCACATTTAGAGTGCAGCGCGGATTTTTGTTATTAATCTGCTTTTTAATCAACAACACGATTTTAATCTACCTTTTTGACCCAATTCAGGGTGTTAAACAAAGGCTGTGATTAGTGCTTTCATTTATTTACTCCGTGTTTTCTAGAAAGTCTTAATAGCAGAAACTCACCGTAACTCTTCCAATTGACGGTCAGTCGAATACGAGAAAATGAATCTAATTCCGTCATTTCAAAAGAAGACTTTAATTTTGTCTTAATTGAATTTGATTGATAGGCGTTTTACCAATTCAAATGACTCTCAAGAGAGGTTTGTAATTGAAGAGGTCGAACTGTGTAATTGTTTTGTTGTCATTAAGTACACATGATTAGGAATTCTAAAATAAAAAAGGCAAGTCAGAATATTTAACACTACAGACACAGGTGCTTGCGTAAAACGACAATTCGAAGAACTGATTCCAACCACATTAACATCGCCATCCATTGGTCGGAATTCTTCAGTCTATGACTCAGCAAACCAACATCGATATAAATATTGGCGATAGATCGAATAGTATTTTATTTAGGATTTTTTTTTAAGTTGGATAATCGTCTTCCAATTAAAAGCGTCCCTGACTAAAATTGTACCTGTTTTTTTTTCTTGTTTGTTTAAATGTTGAAAAAAAAATCCGTTCTCCAATTGTGTGGGAATTGGTTTTCGTTTTCTCTGTAGAACTTATGATATTTCCCCCAGTTTATTTGATTGATTGTTATTGAAAAAGCAACTGTTGCAAATTCATTAAAAACTAAAAAAAATCAACGTTGGATGTAGTTGTAGATTTTTTTTTGTTTTCATTTTTAATTGGTAAAAATGTCCTTTGCTTGAGCATTAAAATTAAGAAATTTAAAATTTCCTGAGGAAAAAAAAAACTTATTGAGAAAATTAAAAATGTTATTGTTATGTTCAATTGTTATTTAATTTAATTAATTTTTATTATTATTAGAGTTGAAATTTACAATATTGTTCAATTTTTCTTTTCGTTAGGTAAAAAATAAAACAAGATTTGATAATTAAAGAAAGACTAAATTTAAAAATTGACAATAATTGTTTGTCGAGTCAAATGAAAAAATTTATTCTCTTCCCTATTTCAAAGGAATCAAAATCAAACGAATTTTTTCATGTGACATTTTGATAAGATGATTTACCAGTAATTTAAGTCACGTTGCGAGGCCTTATTTTTATGTTGCAAAATAAATGTGACAATTCAATTGCGAACATAAAATTATGAAATATTTAATTTGCAAAATACTTGCAAACTTTAAAAATGGTTTTGGATTTTTTTTGTTTTAGTTAATTTTAAGTTAATTTTAATTAACTTAAAAAAAAACCAAAGCAAAAATTTATTTTTAAATAAGAAGCAAGACAAGATTCCTTCAAGAAGAGTAGGTAAACATTTTTTTCTAACCAGTTGAGTAAAGTAAAGAAAACCAATTTCTTAAAAAAAAATTGAATAAAAAGTTGAATTTAAGAAAATCTTGTCAATTTTTACTTCCTTAAATAAAAATCTGATCTTTTATATTAATTATTACTTATTTTGTCACCATGGAAACTCAGAAGTGTTTGAACTTGAAGTAATTCAGTTAATTTCCCATTTCTTGTTAAAATATTTATAATAAAATTTAATTATTTTTAAAAAATTAAAACATATCTTACCTGTAATTTTTCTAAAAATTGGATTTATTTTAAAGTTTGTTTTTCTTCTCAGGCCGTCTTTTTTAATAAATTTAATTTACGTGTTACTGTTCAAGTTCACTGTTCAGTAAAGATTTTATTTATCATCATGGATCATATTTCTTTTAAAAGCTTGTCTGTTATTCATGTATAAAAAAAAATTATAATTTGACAGAAATTGGAAAATTTTCTATTTTTTAAGCTTTATCTATTTTTTTAAAAACATAATTCAAAAGAACTACTTAGAAAAACTGGTTAACTTGAAAGACTTACACAAAAAAATTGTTATGATTGTTTTTCAGTGTTAGAGAGTGAATCGCTAAAAAAAAAAGTCTAAAGTAAAAAATGAATTTTTATTTGGATTATCTTTCTATTCTTGAATCACCGCAGGACTTAAACTTTCCCTCAGGGCTGTCCGACATGGGGTTGGGTAATAATGGACCTTACCATGCCACACAGACGTATGACATTTTATTTATTTATTTATTTATTTATTTTTTTTTATTTTTTATTTTTTTATTTATTTTTTTTTACGTGATTTTTCACCTAATACAAGACATAAGAAGAGTCACTGAGTACAATCTACTTAGTAGATGGCTACTGAATGGGGTTGTTTTAAGAATTGTAGATTAGGATGATATGTTGACACTGAATTTGAAGAGGTTCGTTAGTAGAAGTATCCTCTCAGGAGTTTGTTCGCCAAAAACAGCGGTTCTTGGGAAGCTATTCAAATGGAATTTTGGGAGGGTTGGCACGGAGTTTGATTTCAATCAGACTTTTTTTTCTCATAAACTGGTTGCCCTATCAAGGCTAAAAAACTAAAAAGCCTACTCTGTGTTACTACTTGGTAACTTCAATTCGCCGAAAAAACAGCATCATAGCATGATGA